CACTCCAGTCTGGGTGACAGAGTGAGACTCCAACTCAAAAAAAAAAAAAGAAAAAAAGACAAATTTGTGCTGGCATACATTTGTCCTATATAATCACCAATGAGAAATCCAAGTGGTTTGCTAGAGTTACTAGGTCCCCTAAGAGGGGACATCTGAATGCAAAGGGTTAAAATTTAGTTCTTCATTTGCAATAGTCACATTTCAAGTACTCAACAACCACACATGGTTAGCACCTATCTTACTGGACAGCACTGCTCTAAACAATGAAGAAATTAAGAAAAAAAAAAAAGAAAGAATGAGTTGTTGGCACTGAAGTTTAGATTGTATCAAATGTAAATTTTTTTTTTTCCTGAGTAGGTGTCTCACTCTGTCACTCAGGTTTGAGGGCAGTCACATGCTCCCAGCCACGGCAGCCATGACCTACTGGGCTCAGGCGATTCCTCCGTCTCTGCCTTCCATGTAGCTGGAAACGCAGGCACGCACCACCGTACCCGGCTAATTTTTTGATTTATTGTAGACATGAGGTCTTGCCAAGTTGACCAGGCTGGTCTCAATCCCATGGGCTCAGGCAATCCTCTCACCTGGACTCAAGCCAACCTTTCCCCTCGGCCTCCCAAAGTGCTGGGATTATAGGTGTGAGCCACCACGCTGGTCTCAAATGTTAACTATCAACAAACCTGCAAAACAGGTGGTCCAGATCACTAAGGCAATGACTTGGACAATTTCTGTTTTTTTGAGTTGAAGTCTCACTCTGTTGCCCAGGCTGGATCGACACCACAGCCTCCATCTGCGGAGCTCAGGCAATCCTTCCACCTCAGCCTTCCAAGTAGCTGGGACTATGGGCATGCGCCACCACACTTAGCTAATTTTTGGATTTATTGTAGAGATGAGGTCTCACCAAGCTGCCCAGGCTGGTCTCGAACCCATGGCTCAGGCAATCCTCGTACCTTGGCCTCCCAAAGTGCTGGGATTACAGGCGTAAGTCACCTCACTTGGCCTGTGATGGCTACTTTTTTGTAGAAATGGTTTTGCTCAAGTTCACAATTAACAAGTAGTATAAACAGACTAATTTGTCCCAAATATCTTGTCTTTCACAAACTGGAAACAATAAAAAAAACAGCAAATACTGAAGTGTCATTACAAAACCTTATTATAGAGAACCTTTTCCTACTGCAAACATAACCTACAGCCGATGAAATTTCAAAGGCTATTTAATAAAAAATGCAAACACAGCCGGGCTCGGTGGCTCAGCCTGTAATCCCAGCACTTTGGGAGGCTGAGGTGA